TTTTTCATTAAATTACCAAATTTGTCGTTGCAGGTCTTTCCGAAACATATAATTTGTAAATAAATCCGTTGGTTCTTAAATTTTGTCCATTTTTTCATAACATACAAAGTCTTCTGTTCCCAACAAGAATCTGAAAACATGTTTAACTATCCTATTGGTGAAAGAAAACTCTATATATTAAAAAAATAATAATAAAGATTAAGTATGATTAATTAATTATTTCACAACAATCGGTCCCGTAGTTTCAAAATTGAAAAATCGAGAATTTCAGAAATTGAGAAATTGAAAAATCGAGAAATCAAAAAATTGAAAAATCGAAGAATAGAATAGTGGAAAGATCGGGATCTCGAACAATCGAAAACTCGAGAAATCTAAAAATTGAAAATTCGACAAATCAACAAATTGAAAAACGGGGAAATCGACAAATTGAATAATTAAGAAATTGAAAAGTGGGGAAATAAAGAAATCGAAAAATCGAAGGGAAAAATCAAAAAATTGAAACCGTGATATTGAAAAACCGAAAAACGGAGAAATCGGAATAACCAAAAATTGAAAAATCGAAAAATTGAAAAAACGAAAAGTCGAAAAATGAAAAAATTAAATATCGACAAATTGAAAAATTGAAGAGCAAAATTCAAGAAATTGAAAAATGCAGAAATCAAAAAATAGAAAAATTAAAAAATCGAGGAATAAAATAGTCGAAGAATCTAAAAATTGAAAATTCGACAAATCGAAAAATGTAATAACCGGGAACTTGAAAAACGGGGAAAGCGAAAAATTGAGTAACTAAGAAATTGAAAAGTGGGGTAATCAAGAAGTCGAAAAATCGAGAAATCGAAAAATGAAAAAATTTAAATATCGACAAATGGAAAAATCGAAGAGCAAAAATTAGGAAATTGTTAAACATGTTTTTGGTTTTTTATCTGGAAAAGAAGACTTCGTATATTAAGAAAAAATGGCCAAAATATGCGTCGTTTTATTCATTGTGAGCTGAGGGGCAGAGTTTAGCTGCAAAATCCTCATTTCTCTACAAGAAATTACCATATGAAATTCACCACAATTGAGATTCGGGTGGGTGGGTGGGGCAAATCTTTTTTTATATACGTAGTTTTCTTTCAACAATTTTTTGGCGCAAAGAACAAGAGATATTATAATAAAAAACCTCAAGAATACATTATTCAATAATTTTGGACTGTATGAAAAACTGCAAAATATAAAAATTTAAGCGTCTAATAAAAGTTGGAAAACCGGAAAACTGGAAAATTTAAAAATGAAAAGTTTAAGAGATATCGTAAAATTAAAAAAAAAAATCGAATGGTTGCAAATTGAAAAACTGTTGATAAAATTTTCGCCACAGTTGATGTTCCCACCTATGAGAAAAAAAATTAACAAAATATTTTACAGCGTATTTTTTCATTACAGAAAATATTTTCGAGATCCTCATAGTTACTTCTTTGAAAGAAAGATCGAGCCTGTCTTTTCGAAACTGCAAAAGACATCTTTTAATTGCAATTTTTTGTTGCAGTAAAACTATTTTAGGCATTTTCTTTTTAAATAATGTCGCAATGATCTGTGAATCTGTCACAATGACAAATTATCTATGCTGACAAAATTAAGACATTTGTTTGCTTGATTAAAAAATTGCATCTAAAAATTCTGATCTAATAAATGAAGTAGAAAAGTGGCAATCCAGCTCAAAGCTAATGTCAATCAGACTACTGACAGACAAAAAAGTAAATCATCAAATCAGTTTATCCAACTTAAGGGTCCCCAGTCGTCGCCCGCAAAATCGGTTTCAGTGAGAATTATTTTTTGTAACTATGCAACCCAAAGTACCGATCCACGGCAGGTAGCGACCCAAGAGAGGAGAGATTATGGTCACTGTAGGGAGTCCGTCATAAAATGCAAATCGGTAAACAACACCAGATAAGCTTATTTATTTTCAAATGAAGGGTACAGGGAAATAACCATCGAAATCATTTGTATGTATTTTGAAAGAAATTGAGTTGAAAGTTTAAAATGCGGCGGAAAATAGATTAAGAAACCCACAAGGTTCAGTCTAACACAACTTTTTATTTTCTTTATAATGTTTTAAAAATATATAAAATAAACTGTTTATGTTGAAATATAACAGCAAAAAAAATTGGTGTAAAGTTGTTTCGACAGAACTTCCCTCGCACCTAAAATACAATGAAACATACCCAGCATTTTCGAGTTAAATTTTTACTTTAGGTACACAATTTTGTGATGAAATCATCAACATTTTGCAAGGACACGTAAATCAATGTGGATTAGACTAAAAATAACAGTATTCCAAAAATTTCTGGGAAAATGGAGTGAGTCGAGACTGATTTAATCAATAGAATAAATTGACTCATTCATTAATTTTTTTGAGCCACCTAGGTATATAAGCAAATCTAAAAAAATATGAATGCAATGATAAATTACAAGTAAAAACTCATCATATTTTCCACATTTTTAGTAGAATTTATTCAGCGAAATTTTGAGATGACGTTATCAATTTTTTAGTAGCATAATCCTGAACTTGTGGTTTATAAATACATTATTGAGAATTTTCGGCTTTTCGGTTTTTCGATTTTTCAACTTTTGATGTTTCAATTTTTCAGTACATATTTTAATTTTTGACATTTTCAATTTTTCCATTTTTCAAATTTTTGATTTCTCCATTTTTTTATTTTTCGATTTCTCAATTGTCCGATGTTTCACTGATACGATTTCACAATTTTTCAGCTTTTCGATATTTTAATTTTTCAATTTTTAAATTCTAGATTTTTCGATTTTTCGAGTTTTCAGTTCTTTCAATTCAGTTTTTCAATTTTCGGAATTAATTAAATTTCTGATTTTCCATTTTTTTTTAATTTTTCGATTTTCCAGTTTTTCGATGTTTCGATTTTTCAATTATACGATTGTTCAATTTCTCGATTTCTAAATTTTAGATTTTCCAATTTTAATTTTTTTTTTTATTTTTTCATGTTTGGACTATTTATTATTGCTAAAAATAAAAGTAAAAAATAACTACCAAGATTGTGACTAAAAATATGTAAAAATTAATAGAAAATAGAACACATTGCTGCTAAAACATAAAAATAACTGTACTTTCACAAAAAAATCTATTGCACTAGTATTGCTAATTTAGGACGTTAGGATCAAACGCAGTGAAAGTATTAATTCTTAGTTAAACAAAAAAATAGTTTAGTGTCAAAATCGAGTGAAACATGTGAGACGTGTGTAAACAAAAGCATCTAAATAATAACTATTTCCCGCAGAATTTCTGGAGGCTTATAGAGTCGACATTGGCCTGAGCGCACTCCGGTCTGTGGATCATACAAGTTCTCGGGCGACGATGTATCTAACGAGGCAGTAGTTGAAATACCTGATATGTCACAGTGCAAAAAGTATTTCTCAAAAAACTTTCAAACGTTGATGTCTTTTTAATCGAACAAAACACAATTGGCGAACGCTATAATCCAGAATGGTGTGCAGAAAAATCTTTTAGACTAACCGAACGTTATTTTGGTAAAATTTGCAAAATGAGAGAACAAGTAACACGGCTAATCCTACTGTACTGTGAAAAACACTTTACATCCCTGCAAATCTAGTTCAGCATGTACTCTCCCAAAATCTTTGCATAGAAAATGAAGCAAGGGCAACTGAAGCATTTTGCAGTAACACCAAAGTGACAAAAAGACAATGCGGTTTGTACATTTTTAGCGGCATCGTCAGACGGCCTAATAAACAAAAACGCTATCGTAGAAATATATACAATGTCCAATTTAAATAATGCTTAATTCAACGAGATGATAAATTTTGGGAAAATAATATGATAGAGCCCTAGAAAAATTTGATTTATATGCCTTACTTCCGAAGAGAGTAGATTCTCGTTATTAAACAAGTCAACCCATTAGACAAATTGTAAAGAAAAAATTATACAATTACAATTTTTTATTTGCATTCGCGTCATGTGTAGTTCATATAAATCTTTTGCCATTCTAGTATAAACACACACAGGAATAAATAGTAATATTGGAATAGGTTTACTGGAGATATCACGTAAAAAACGTGCCTCTACCTCATAGGTGGTGCGGAAAAGAGTATCAAAAAATTAAATTGAAATAAATATGTATGATTGTTCAGGTAAATAAGTGGTTAGTGAAGTGATGGGAATCTAAATCTTGTCAGTTTTGTGTATTGATTAATATATAAAATGACAGATTAATAAAAAATATTTGAATAATTTTTTCAAAGAAAATATTTTAGTAGAATATATAAAATTATAAAAATTTGCAAACTTTTAAATCAAATAATGTCAGCAATGAAAGAAGTCGACTTGTAAAAGAGTTTCAACAATGTTGGTCAGCTAAGAATATTTATGAGTTTTATGATCTAAAGTACCTGGACTGATTACCTGAAAGGGTCGGTCGGCAAGGCTCCCTGCTGTATAAAACTCAGCCATTTATTGAAACGGAAAACTTTGTAAATAGGGTTGCCTAGTTTCACTTTATTTTCATTAGTCAGTATTTTTTTAAAAAGCAAATAATATTTTGATAAATCTAAATTTTAAACAAAAATGACCGGGTCTTCCCCATAGAGCTCAATGTTGTCTTTGCACTGATATAAAAGTTAAAGCGAAAAATGCTCTCTCCTCGTCTAAAAATGCAAATTCCTTCGAAGAATGAACGATTAATGAAACACTAAACAATCACTTATTTTAAAAAATATTGTGTCTTCCCCAGAGATTTAGACATAATCTATCAATTGAAATGTCGATCTTTTTTTCAAAGTTGAAATTACGCCCGTAAAATGAAAATCTTTTTAGCTCATTTTTCGGTCTGCTACTGGACACCCTAAAAAAAAAATATCAAAGCCTACTTTACAATATAAAGATCGTGAATGGATAATAGAGTTCTAAATTGTTAGTGCATTATTTCTGCCTTCAACTGTACTCTTTTGCAACTAGACTAGTGTATTTCACTTTGCAGTGTTGGTGTTCGTCCATAACCGCCGCAAACTTCACAGCGTGACCTGGGAACTGTCAGTGTCATCTGCTGCATGCCTTTGTATTTTGTTCTATGTACTGGCTCGGTTCCAGAGATACTTCCAATTGTGCAGAATACATTTATGTATTTGTGAAGTGTTTATTACCCCGTGTGAAAATGGCAGGAGCGAGTGATCGCCACATTTACAACAATAACGACACCAGCAGTGACACGGAAGACTACGCTGACGACCGCCGTCGCAGGGTCTTCAAAAACCGCTTAAGGTAGCCCTCTCCTCCTAAACCTGCCCTGCCGTGCCCAGACAGGCCGCGAAAATCAAGCAGAACCACTTCGTCGAGTGAAAGTCAGTTCGCATGAGAAGCCATTGTCTTGTCTCATGACAATGCCAGTATTTGCGCAACAGTTATATTTAGCAGCAAGGGTTATTCCTGCAGGTGCAGGCCAGTCCTCTGCTTCATTTTCCTGCGGTCGTAGCGTCCCATCTGTCTAGTAGTCGGCCGATGATTAATGATAATATTGCTTTGCGTAGTTATGGATCGTGTTCGAAGCCGAAACCGTGCCTTGTGCAACGTTCTGCGTCCCTATCGGACCCCCGGTGCCACTCTGTAGCTACGCCTAAGCAATGTCACAATGCTCCTCGCAATAGGCAAGAGCTGTCTTCCCGTTTCGACACTATCTAAACCGCACTTTCCAGAAGCCGCAACGTGCTGCCACCCGCCAAGAACCAGCCCCCGGGCGCCGCCGCCAACGCCTCCACCAACGTTAGCGACGACAGGGTCACCCTTGTGGTGGATAACACCAGGTTCGTAGTCGATCCCGCCCTCTTTATGGCGCATCCAAACACCATGCTGGGAAGAATGTTCAGCTCGAACTTGGAGTTCACGCAGTCCAACGAGAGGGGCGAGTTCGAGGTGGCCGACGGAATCCCGGCGACCATTTTTAGGTAGGGTGGTCATATTAGCCTTGTTGACAATGCAGTGGGTAAAGGTTTTATTTTTTCTTCCATAATCAATGGAAGAGTACAGAGAATTAATACCAAGGCAAGAACAAAATGTTTACATTCCAAAGTACAGTTGTGCTACATATTTATGTCATGAAACTTTTAGAATGATTCATTGGAATTGACAAAATTGTGCAACTGTGAAGTCTCATAACAGGATTTTTTGGCACAAACGAGATTTTGTAATTTTTTGGCAAATACATTATAAAGTAAAATATAACAACCAAAGTGCATAAACTGCATTGTCATAAATTATATGTACAAAGTTGCCAATCTTACAATAATTAAACTATATAATCAGGGTTTTTTTAATTGAATTCAACAAGTGGTTGATTTTTGATTTTGGAATAAATTGTATGTGGCAGAACCCTGCAGTGGAAAACAAAAGGAATTAGAGTTGGCATTGTCTGTCAATCTTTGGTTTTCACACGTATTTATTTTTTTACATTGATGTATAATCATCATATGGTAATGATGTTATGATAAAAATTTGGCTACTACATATATATGTACAAAAATATATATATTTTTCACGAAGTAATTAACCCACGTGCCGGTCTACTACTTTAGATTTCAAAGTAATAAACATTTCCTTTTTTTGTTTTTATTAAGCAACGTAAAATTTGTGTACATTTTGAAAGCGCAACAAACAATGTACATTTAAGTATTTTATTTTATCGCCAGTTTAAAATTTTAACACTTTCATTATTTATAGGCTTTTAATAACAGAACACTTCACATTCCCGATAAAAAAAAATATAAAATCTAACACATTTCGATAAGCAAGAAGTTTTATAAAACTTTGTAAAAATGAGAAAATGGTATACAGCAGATTTAAAATAATTTCTCTTCCGCAAATTTTTTAAAATGACGTAATTTCATTTTTTGGAGGTGATCAATAAATCGATTTTAGTGAATGTTCTTTAAATTCTAAATTAGTTAGTATATTAGCAGAATTTTAAAACAGTTTGTTAAGCAATTTCGGAAAAAATCAGTTTTTTATGGTCATTAAACATGCTTGTTTAAAGTTCAAAATTGAATAAAAAAAATGTTGACTAGGACATGAAATTTATTTTTAAACTTCATCTCTAACTTTTACAATAGTAAAAGTAGTAGTTTTAGTGTTGAGTTTTTACCCTAGCATCTTTGATTTTTCAATTTCCCGATTTTCTAATTTTTAAATATTTGAATTTTGCAATTTTTGGATTTCTAATTATCCCATTTTGCGATTTCTTTAATTTTCAGTATTTCGATTTTACAATCATATTTCCTTTTTCTCAATTTTTAATCTGTCGATTTTTCAATTTTTATTCGAAAAAGTGGAAAATCGAAAAATTGCAAATCGAACAACTGAAAAAACAAAAAAATTGAAACATTGAAAAACTAATAATCAAGAAACTTAAAAATCGAAAAAAATCATTGAATCAAAAAATTGGAAAGGAGAAAAACCGAATCGAAACATTGGAAAAGCCAAAAATCGGAAAAACTATAAAATTGTAAAGTCGAAAAAGTGCAACATTGAAAGACTGAAAAATTAAGTATCGAGAAGGTTAAAAATCGAAAAATTGAAAAATGGAATAAATGAAAAAAAATTGAAAAAACGAAAAGTCGAAAAATGAAAAAATTAAATATCGACAAATTGAAAAATTGAAGAGCAAAAATCAAGAAATTGAAAAATGCAGAAATCAAAAAATAGAAAAATTAAAAAATCGAGGAATAAAATCGTCGAAGAATCGGGACCTCGAAAAATCGGAAAGTCGAAAAATCTAAAAATTGAAAATCCGACAAATCGAAAATCCGACAAATCGAAAAATGGAATAATCGGGAACTTGAAAAACGGGGAAATCGAAAAATTGAATAACTAAGAAATTGAAAAGTGGGGTAATCAAGAAGTCGAAAAATCGAGAAATCGAAAAATGAAAAAATTTAAATATCGAAAAATGGAAAAATCGAAGAGCAAAAATTAGGAAATTGTTAAACATGTTTTTGGTTTTTTATCGGGAAAAGAAGACTTCGTATATTAAGAAAAAATGGCCAAAATATCAGCCCCGCCCACCCGCCCCTTCTCAATTGTGATGAATGTTTTATTCATTGTGAGCTGAGGGGCAGAGTTTAGCTGCAAAATCCTCATTTCTCTACAAGAGATTACCATATGAAATTCATCACAATTGAGATTCGGGTGGGTGGGTGGGGCTAATCTTTTTTTATATACGTAGTTTTCTTTCAACAATTTTTTGGCGCAAAGAACAAGAGGTATTATAATACAAAACCTGAAGAATCCATTATTCAATAATTTTGGACTGTATGAAAAACTGCAAAATATAAAAATTTAAGCTTCCAAAAGTTGGAAAACCGGAAAACTGGAAAATTTAAAAATGAAAAGTTTGAGATATCATAAAATTAAAAAAAAAAAATCGAAAGATTGCAAATTGAAAAACTGTTGATAAAATCCAATAATTGAAAAATTCTAAAATCATAAATTTGAAAAAATAAAAAAATAAAATAACAATTATTATTATTACATATTTAAGAACCGAAAAATTGAAAAATACAACTTGTGAAAAAAAAAAACATTTTTTATGGTCAACGAACATACTGTTTAAAGTTAAAAGTCGAAGTACCGTATGATAAAAAAAAATCGTCTAGAAGGCCATGAAATTTATTTTTAAAACATGTAATGATGTTGGCATTGCAACTTTTTGCGCACTGTATTTGACATTTGTTTGAGTATAACTGTCAAACTAAACAAGCAATGCGCTAGCATTGCAACTTTTTTGCACTGTATTTGACGTTTATTTGACCATAACTGTCAAACTAAACAAGCAATGCGCTAGTGTTGTCAACGTAATTTGACCCCTAGAATACGAAAACATAGGGTCTAATCGTTTCCACCAACAATAACATGACGTCATCTCCAACTTTTACGGTAATAAATGTTATTTAAATTTTATAAAATAACATACTCCTCCACTTGTAGTTTATGACCCCGTGTTGAGTTTTTACCCCAAGCATCTTGGATTTTACAATTCCTCGATTTTCAAACTTTTCAATTTTTCAGTTTTTGGATTTCTAATTATCCGATTTTACGATTTCTTTAATTTTCAGTATTTCGGTTTTACAATCATATTTCCTTTCTTTGATTTTTAAGTTTCTCAATTTTTAGATTTTTCAGTTTTCATTTTATACTTTTCCGTTTTTTCATTTTTGATTTTCAATTTTTACAGTTTTGCAATGTTTCCACTTTTTTTTTATTCGAAAAAGTGGAAAATCGAAAAATTGCAAATCGAACTGAAAAAACAAAAAAATTGAAACAATTGAAACATTGAAAAACTAAAAATCGAGAAACTTAAAAATCGAAAAAAAATCAATGAATCAAAAAAATCGAATAAAAAAATTGGAAAAGCCCAAAATCGGAAAAATTATAGAATCGTCAAAATTGTAAAGTTGAAAAAGTGCAACATTGAAAGAATGAAAAATTGAAAAGTTAAATATCGAGAAATTCAAAAATTTAAAATCGAAAAATTCTTAAATCATAAAATTGAAAAAGTAAAAAAAATACATATTTAAAATGAAAACTGGAAAAACTGCGAATCAAAAATTGAAGAAACGAAAAATTGAAAATGCAATTTAGGAAAAAACATTTTTGTATGGTCATCAAACATTCTTGTTTATAACAACTTGTAGTTTATGACCTCGTGTTGAGTTTTTACCCTAGGCATCTTAGATTTTTCAATTCCTCGATTTTCAAATTTTTCAATTTTGCAATTTTTGGATTTTTAATCATATTTCGTTTTTTGATTTTTAAGTTTCTCAATTTTTAATATTTCCATTTTTCAATTTTCGTTTGTTTAATTTTACAAGTTCTTGAATTCCAATTTTTAGGTTTTTCAGTTTTCATTTTATACGTTTTCCTTTTTCATTTTTGATTTTCAATTTTTACAGTTTTGTAATTTTTCTGTTTTTTTTTTTTATTCGAAAAGGTGGAAAATCGAAAAATTGCAAATCTACAAACTAAAAAATCGAAAAAATTAATGAATCGAAAAATTGGAAAGGAGAAAAATCGAATAGAAAAATTGGAAAAGCCAAACATTGAAAGAATGAAAAATTGAAAAGTTAAATATCGAAAAATTCAAAAATTAAAAATCGAAAAATCGAAAAATTCTTAAATCATAAAATTGAAAAAGTAAAAAAAAAATAACATTTTATTATAATGATATGTATATTTAAAATGAAAACTGGAAAAACTGCGAATCAAAAATTGAAGAAACGAAAAATTGAAAATGCAATTTGGGAAAAAACATTTTTGTATGGTCATCAAACATACTTGTTTATAACATACTTCTCCACTTATAATTTATGACCCCGTGTTGAGTTTTTACCCTAAGCATCTTAGATTTTTCAATTCCCCGATTTTAAAATTTTTCAATTTTGCAGTTTTTGGATTTCTAATTATCCGATTTTACGATTTCTTTAATTGTCAGTATTTTGGTTTTATAATTATATTTCGTTTTTATGATTTTTAAGTTTCTCAATTTTTAATCTTTCCATTTTTCAATTTTCCTTTCTTTAATTTATTTTACAAGTTCTTGAGTTCCAATTTTTAGATTTTTCAGTTTTCATTTTATACTTTTTTGTTTTTTCATTTTTGATTTTCAATTAGTTTTGCAATGTTTCCATTTTTTTTTATTCGAAAAAGTGGAAAATCGAAAAATTGCAAATCGAACAACTGAAAAAACAAAAAAATTGAAACATTGAAAACTAAAAATCGAGAAACTTAAAAATCGAAAAAATCAATGAATCAAAAAATTGGAAAGGAGAAAAATCAAATAGAAAAATTGGAAAAGCCAAAAATCGGAAAATTATAGAACCGTCAATATTGTAAAATCGAAAAAGCAACATTGAAAGAATGAAAAATTGAAAAATTAAATATTGAGAAATTCAAAAATTAGAATCGAAAAATTCTTAAATCATAAAATTGAAAAAGTAAAAGAAAATTAACATTTTATTATTATTACATATTTAAAATGAAAACTGGAAAAACTGCGAATCAAAAATTGAAGAAACGAAAAATTGAAAATGCAATTTGGGAAAAAATATTTTTTTATAGTCATACTTGTTTATAACATACTCGTCCACTTGTAGTTTATGACTCCGTGTTGAGTTTTTAGCCTAGGCATCTTAGATTTTTCAATTCCTCGATTTAAATTTTCAATTTTGCAATTTTTGGATTTCTAATTATCCGATTTTACGATTTCTTTAATTTTCAATATCTTGGTTTTATAATCATATTTCGTTGTTTTGATTTTTAAGTTTCTCAGTTTTTAATCTTTCGATTTTTCAATTTTCGTCTATTTAATTTTATACGTTTTCCTTTTTCATTTTTGATTTTCAGTTTTTACAGTTTTGCAATTTTTCCGTTTTTTTTTTATTCGAAAAGGTGGAAAATCGAAAAATTGCAAATCGAGAAACTTAAAAAATCGAAAAAACTAATGAATCGAGAAATTAGGAAGGAGAAAAAACGAATAGAAAAATTGGAAAAGCCAAAAATCGGAAAATTATAGAATCGTCAATATTGTAAAGTCGAAAAATTGCAACATTGAAAGATTGAAAATTAAATATAGAGAAATTCAAAAATTAAAACTCGAAAAATTGACAAAATACAATAGTTGAAAAAGTAAAAAAAAAAAATTAATTATTGTTAATTGTGAATTGCTAATCAAAAATTGAAGAAACGAATAACAAAAAAAGTCGTCTAGGAGGCCTTGAAATTTATAATTATTGTTACATATGTAAAATAAAAACAGGAAAAATTATCAATCAAAAATTGAAGAAGCGAATAATTAAGAAATGCAATTGGGAAAAAAAATCGTCTAGGAGGCCATGAAATTTATTTTTAAAATACCCTAGGCATTTTTGGTTTTTTAATCCCTATATGGATATGGTGCTTCTTTACCTGTACTTTAACAGTCCACACATATATTAATTTTACATAGGGGTTATTATAAAAAAATATATAAAATTGTCAAAATTAAATTTAATATTTTTAGAGGATGATTACATTAATTTAGAGGTATATTAGGTACCACTAGTCACAATATTGTTATCTTTCCAGAATAAAAAAAAAATGTGTCGGTTCATATATATGGCTTATTTAAATTAATATTCGAAATTAAGTGTAAAATTTGCGAACTTTGGTTTAATAACAATATTAAAGCGAATTTGAAATCTCAAAGTTATCACCTACATTTTTTGAGCTGTGAAACTTCAAAAAACATATAACTATAATATCGAAGCAGTCGTTCCACAAATAACAAGTAATATGCCAAAATGAAAACATAAATTTTATTTGTATAAAATTAGATTTTTTTATCTCTTGTAAAATTTCCAATACAGATGTTATATTTAACCCTACGATAAATTAATTATTATTAAAATCTTGTCTTAGTCCGTATTACCGAGACTGAAGTGATCCCCTAACCCTATTTTTAGAGCCATCTTGGAGTATTACAAGGGAGGGTTGATCAAGTGCCCACCGTCCGTCTCAGTACAGGAGCTTAGAGAGGCCTGTGATTACTTGCTGGTGCCTTTCGATGCCAACACAGTTCGATGCCAAAATTTAAGTAAGTATTATAATATGTGAATATTACGCAAAGCGCCTCTTGGCGCAAGTGCAAGCTAAACAATGATGTTTATGTTTTTGTAAGTGCTATGTGAAGTAGGTATGACATAAGGTGGGAAAATTCCCCTCGATTTAAAAAGATAGACTGCTATTTTCTTATTGTTGTTGTTTTAATGAATTGCATGTTTCGTGCTAATTACTGCCACTTTATAAGTGACATACAGGTGCATGGCAGACCTAATTTATTGTTGTCTTTTCTTTGAATGTAACAAGAATGGAAAACGTCAGTGGCGAGTCATTAGTCAGAATAATGAATAGCTCGTTAGTTGTTTTTTTTTCTTCCATATAAATAGTACATGTAATGATGATACAACAACATGAACTAAATAGACATTAACGTTTGGACGTGGTATTGTGTGTTTCCTTGTATTAAATACAACAACAATTAATAGTTAATCTATGACATCAATAACTTGATGTTCCGTAACTATAAATTAAATTCCAGGTAATACCTCGCTTGTTATTAAGGTACGCAAGTGCTATTTATTAGTAATGGATTAATTAATTAATTTTATGAAATAAGACACTTCTGCACTCGTGATGACATTCACGAATCGGTGTTGAGTTTACTCCATAGACATTCAGATTTTTGGAAAAAAAAAAATCAAACCTGAAACTGCAAAACCGAATACTCCGAAATCTTGCAAAGGTTTTATGGTTATCGTAATCATAGTAAATTGTTAATCAAAATTTATTTGTTCATCCTCTCCAAAAAAATTAATAACGTCAGCTTTAAATTTTGCTTAATAATAAATCCTATCTGAAATATGCAAAACACTATGACTTGTGGTTTATCAGTGCACTCATAGTTTTTAGAAATACTTATACAGGTATAAAAAATTGGTCTAAAGAGTTTAGACAGTACTTCCCTCGCTGTCGGAAACTTGACTGCATGCCTATTGTGTTTTTTTTTCTCATTACATTTTTGTAGTGGGAATTTAAAAAAAAATTGCGATGACGTCATCAACATTTTTGCAAGGGCACGTATATCAGTTGGGATAGATGTAGTGTAATACTAAAAATAAAATTATTATATTCTCAAATTTTCGGGAAAATGAATTGGGTCGTTTTGAATATTGATTTGTAATAATCAATAAAATAACGAAACAATTTACTCACGGATACGTATCAGAGGCAACTGAAAATCGTTTATGTATAAACATTCTTAATTTAAGATGACAAGCGTAACAGCATACGTGAGAGTCAAACAGAGAAACTGTAAACAAAACGACCATCGGTTTTATTGCTTCGACTTCCGCTTATTATATAAAACATTGGGTTTTATTTTAATTCTTGACGGTGAAATTCACAATTGGTTGATTATAAACATGTCTATTTCACATTCGCGGAACCAAGTGAACGCATAAAACAAATGCAGGTCTGTAATGTTAAAGTCGATGTAAATAAGCGTGCTACCCTTATGTTTCAACCGAGTTTTTCCTTTAACAAATTTTGTGTCTACCAAATTGGGTTTGTTGGGGTGTAATACTAATAATAAGTGTTGCCTTTAATTTAATCAATAAAATAAATTGACTTCATTAATTTTTTTGAACCACCTCTTAAGAAAATCTAAAAAATATGAATGGAATGATAAATCACAAGTACAAACTCATCATATTTTTTGCATTTTAGATAGGATTTATTCAGCAAAATTTAAGGGTGACGTCATCAATTTTTTTAGGAGGGATGAACAAGTACATTTTGAACAAAAGTTTACCATGCTTATAATAACTTTAAAATATTCCCAAGATTTCAAAGCATTCGGTTTTGTAATTCCTGATTAAATCGATAAAATAAATTAACGCCTTCATTAATTTTTTTGAGTCACCCTGCATATGCAAATCCAAAAATATGAATGGAATGATAAATCTCAAGTACAGACTCATCATATTTTGTACATTTTAGATACGATTTATTCGGCAAACTTTTGAGCTGACATCATCAGTTTTTTGTAGAAGATAACCAAATATATTTTGACTAAAAATTTATTATGCTCTTTATAACCTTAAAACATCTGCAAGATTTCAAAGCATTCGGTTTTGTAGTTCCTGATTAAATCAATAAAATAAATTTACGCATTTATTAATTTTTTTGAGTCACCCTGTATATGCAAATCGAAAAAATTTGAATGAAATGATAAATCACAAGAAGAGACTCACCATATTTTGTACATTTTAGATAGGATTTATTCAGCAAAATTTTGTGGTGACGTCATAAATTTTTTAGAGGGGACGACCAAATACGTTTTGATCAAAAATTTACCATGCTTATGATAATTTTAAAATATCTTCAAGATTTCGAAGCATTCGGTTTTGTAGTTCCTGAGTAAATCAGTAAAATAAATTTACGCTTTCATTTATTTTCTTGAATCACCCTGTATATGCGAATCCAAAAAATATTAATGGAGTGATAGATCACAAGTACAGACTGATCATATTTTGTACATTTTAGATATGATTTATTCGGCAAATTTTCGAGCTGACGTCATCAAGTTTTTGGAGGGGATAAGCAAATATATTTTGACTAAACATTTATTATGCTCTTTATAACCTTAAAACATCTGCAAGATGTCAGAGCATTCCGTTTTGTAGTTCCTGATTAAATCAATAAAATATATTTACGCATTCATTAATTTTTTTGAGTCACTCTGTATATGCAAATCCAAAAAATATGAATGGAGTGATAAATGACAAGTACAGGCTCATCATATTTTGTACACATTAGATATGATTTATTCGGCAAACTTTCGAGCTGACGTCATCAAGTTTTTGGAGGAGATAAGCAAATATATTTTGACTAAACATTTATTATGCTCTTTATGACCTTAAAACATCTGCAAGATTTCAGAGCATTCGGTTTTGTAGTTCCTGATTAAATCAATAAAATATATTTACGCATTCATTAATTTTTTTGAGTCACCCTGTATATGCAAATCAAAAAAATATGAATGGAGTGATAGATCACAAGTACAGACTCATCATATTTTGTACATTTTAGATATGATTTATTCCACAAACTTTTGAGCTGACGTCATCAAGTTTTTGGAGGGGATAAGCAAATATTTTTTGACTAAAGATTTATGATGCTCTTTATAGCCTTAAAACATCTGCAACATTTCAAAGCATTCTGGTTAGCAGATTAAAAATTAAATTTCAAAATTTTTTTTCCAAAAATCTGGACGTTTCGGGTGAAAAGTCGATTCAGAGTTGTAAACTACATGTGTAGGACTATGTTATTTTATACAATTGAAAACCCATTTACTATGTACAATTTTGAAGTGATGTCATCGCATTAGTGGCGGGGATGATTAGACAAATTTTGGTTAGCGTTTTACCATCTACATGATATTCTTAATATAAATACAAAATTTCACAACAATCGGTCGAGTACTTTCGGAGATTATCTGTCTAATAAAAATCCGGGACGGCAGACGGACGGACAGACGGACAAACAGACGGAAATGGAAGACCTATTTCTTCGTCTTCTAGGGGTCATGAAAGATCGAGAAAACGTAAAAGTAGGGAGTCGGCCGACGGACTCGATTACAATACTTCCTTTGCTTACGCTCGAGAAGTAAAAATTAATAAATGACTCTAGTTTCTCAAGAATTTACTTCAACATTAAATGCATATCCTTATTTTTGCTTATAACGATTATGATAAAAAAATAAAATTCGCAAAATCAAATCTTATAATATTTCGAAAAATCTGGATTTATTTACTTCGGACTAATTTTTTGATAGCACAATTTTTCGTATCTTCAATATTTCTCGATTTTACAATTTTCCATTTTTCGATTTTTCAGTTTCTCAATTTTTAATTTTTTGATTTTTCAATTTTTCGTTTCCTCAACTTTTCCTGTTTTTTCATTTCCTTTATTTTTTCAATGTTTCTTTCGATTTTGTAATTTTTCGTTTATTCAATTTTTATAATTTTCAATCTATGATTTTTTAATTAATGGATTACCCAATTTTTAGATTTTGTATTTTTGGATTTCGAATTATCCGATTTTTCGATTTTTCACTTTTTCGGTTTTTAAGTTTCTCAGTTTTGAATCTTTCGATTTTTCAATTTTTCGTTTCAATTTTTGCAGTTCTTGATTTTTATTTTTCATTTTCCTGATTTTTTAATTGTCATTTTTTCGATTTTATATCACAATTTTTCGTTTATTCAAGTTTTCTTCATTCTTTAGATTTTTCAATTCCTCGATTGTTCGATTTTTAAATTTTGCAATTTTTTATTTTTGGATTTTCAGTTATCCAATTTTCGGATTTTTTTAATTTCCAATTTTTAGATTTTTCAAATATCATTTTATACTTTTTCGTATTTTCATTTTTGATTTTCAATTTTTACAGTTTTGCAATTTTTAGTTTTTTTTTATTTGGAAAAATGGTAGATCGAAATTTTGAAAAATAAAGAAATTGAAAATCGAAAACTAAACACTCGGAAAAATTAAAAAAGTGGAAAATTGAAAAATTCCAAATCGAAGAACTGAAGAAATGAAAAATTGAAACATTGAAAAACTAAAAATATAGAAACTTAAAAATCGACAAAATTAATTAAAAAACTGGAAAAAAGAAAAAACAAATAGAATCGAAAAATCGGAAAACCAAAAATTATAAAATCGAAAAATTATAGAATCGTCAAAATTGTAAAGCCGAAAAACTGTGAAAGTGAAAGATTGAAAAAAAACTAAATATCAAGAAATTCAAAAACTAAAAATCGAAAAATTAAAAATGGAATAAATGAAACTTTTAAAATCCAATAATAATTGATTTAAAAATGGAAACATCATAAAATTGAAAAAGTAAAAAAAATCCCAATCAAAAATTGAAAAACAGACAAAATTGAAAGATCGAAAAGCGCGGATCCAAAAATTGAAAATTTTCGCATTAAAAGAAACAAAAATTACAAAAATCAGAACATAAAGAAAATAAAAAAC